AATTTATATTACTTAGAAAGTGCAAAGTTTTACCTTTAATTTGATATACATATTATATCATGGTTTGCTTTTGGGTTTTCAGAATTCAGTGATAATAAAAAATATGAGTGCATGTATGTGCAAATGCATGTTGTAGTTAATTAGAAAGCACATATTCTTGTAAGTTTACGCACTCTGCTATATGAACGACCCACACTCTCTTTTCGCTTACACATGCGACAATAGTCCTGTTTTCTTTGGTTAAAGTATCACTAACTTTATACTAACTTTAACTAGTAAAATAATTTGCAAATACCTAACTCACTGTTTATTCGATGGTGAAAAATTCTTTTTTAATATTGCCTGATTATAAAAAGGCAATAATATGACCATCGTATAATTTCTGAAAACGGGGGCGGTAGCAATAGCAAATACATAAAAATAAGAAGCATTCCTAGCATAGCTTAAAAGTTTGCCAGTGCGGTTGTCTTTTTCACAGTTCAAAAACTCTCACTCAATGGAAATCGGCCAACTGGTTGGTGCGTTTGTAGGGAATTTCGTTAAGTAGGTTGGTCAACTGGTTGGCCGATAAGTCAATGCGTGTGTAGGGCCTTTGAGGGTTTATACCGGACAATACTGTCATGACCAGGGAACGGATTTTTAGGACGTAAAAAACTTAAAAAAGGCAAAATAAAATAACGAAATAGGCTGGAAAAGGCAAAATAAAATAGCGAAAAATACAGGAAAAAGCACTAGGTATTGCAAAAAAGGCAAAATAAAATAGCGAAAAAGGCAGGAAAAGGCACTAGGTATTGCAAAAAAGCAAAATAAGGCACTAAAAAAAGACATAAAATACGAAGAACAATCAAAAATACATTTATTCTAGAAATATTTATATTACAAGTAAAAAGAGAAAAAGTATGAACTAGTTTCATTATATGAAAAATTTGTACTTTGAATCTTTATTTATTTTACCCTTTCTAGTTTCTAACTCATAAAAGTTTAATCTGTATAGTTATAGTAAAAGTGAACCTTAAGATGCATTTTTAAGTTTTCTGGCAGCATTTTCATTCGATTATCGCGAAGAAACCCTTGAATGTACTAAATGTGCGCTCGACGTAAGTTGATACAAGTGGAGCCCAATTTAAATATGGAACGTTTGAAACGTTCATATTATCAGGAATAAGGGCGTTTTCCTCGCCCTTTACAATTTTATCCACACCCCTTATTGTCTCCAAGCCTACGTTAGCTGAGAACACGGCTTTGAATTTTTCCAACACCAATTTGGCAAGAGGTCCCTGCGCTTCTATAAGCCGCATGGGCATCTGTATGTTTTTTAATTTTTAAAAAATAAGTTGTAAATGCTATAATCACTTTTTTAAAGGTAGAAAAGGCAAAAAAATGCAATTATCTTAAAAACGCAAAAAAGGCAAATATCTTAAAAAAGGCAACATCAAATGTGTATATATGGAATCATGGAAAGCTAAATCGTGGACATTCTTAATCGAACATACTCTATCTCTTTATACCATGTTCTGACCGACAACAAAAACGCCTTGAAAACGAGTTTTGGGATTGTGGGCTGAAGACTGTCCACACCGACTGTTGGTGTTTTCGTTGACATTTCTTACTTCCTTTGTTTACAGTTACAGCTACACAAATACAAAACCAAAATACTTTTCCTGCAATTTCTTTTTATTAACAACCTTTTACTTCCATGCTTATTTTATTATGGTCAGCCAATTAACAATAAATCCGAAATGGCGTATTAAAGATGATAAAATATGACTGCCACTTCGATTAATAATCGAAAAAAACTAGTGCAGACACCGATTGGAATGAGTGGAACGTGAGTTTTCAAGTGGTTTTCAGCGAAAACTTGTTTTCGTTTGAATGTTTTTACATGGACGAAAATACAAGCTTTAGGTCGAATACCAGTTTTAGCAATGAAAACATATTTTCAATGTCGGTCAGAACATGGTATTAGCGGAAAAAAGGCAATTTTCATAAAATCCGTTCCCTGGTCATGACAATAGCAATACATGCACACATTTTCACTAACTTATGGTTAACACCAGACAACACTGTCATGACAATAGCAATACAAGCACACTTTTTCACTAATGCATGCATACTTTTCCAATTGTCTCAATCACTGTCCTGATTTTTTTCAAGACAGTAAATCGGACAATGATTTGACGCATGCATACAATAGCTTTGACGTCTTGTGCATGAAAGAAGAGAAATTCATAACAAAAGAACTAAAATATCACATGAGACGCAGATGTGTATGTAACTTTGTCTCTTCTTTATTATTTTTTAGTTTTTAGCTTAAATAGCTCGCGCGAAATGCGAACTATAATACAACGTTCACGTCCGACAATTTGCTCAAAATGAATTGTCATAATTATTGTCAGGACGCCTACGCCACGGAGACAATTATCAGCGTTTTTGACAGCTAATACGTGTTTCTTAATCTTCTTGACAGCATTATCCAATGTAAACGCGCCGTAAAGGCCCCGCCGGATAGAAAATTTTTTCTGTGTCGTAAGGATGCTTTTGACTGACAAAACGAACAGAACATAGCGAGGCGGCACAATGAAAACTTTGCCGCAAACAAAACGGTTCAATTTGATTGGTCAAAAATCAGCTGGTTTCAATTCGGTTCATACATTTTTGTTGAAAAGTTGAGATTTAGGTGAATTTTATCAGTTGCGGCAATGCATGCGTTGCCAATGTGGCATATTCTATTCAAAATCACAGAGTTAACTTGGATGCCTGTCAAAAGCGTCCCTGTGATGCAAAACGAAATTATATCTGGATGGGCCTTAACACTATTTCAGCCGGTTTCACCATCAATTTAAGTGGAAAATGATTTTTTAATTTCGGTCATTTTCCATATAAAATTCAAAAAGTTTAAATAATTGTTCATTTAAATTGCGAATCTGAGGGCTCTGTCACACGGTCAGTAATTATCACGATATTTGGATCGCGATCCATATTGATGGATCGCGCACGAATGCTACATGTTTAATATTTATCGCGTCAGTATTTGCATAATTTTTGTGCTGAATGCTTATTATAACGCAAGAAAATAATTTTATTTTGTACGTATAATTTACAGATAATGCATTCCACAATTATTTTAAATTTCCAATGTTAATTAAATTTAAATTTAATTATTCAAGTAAGGAAGAGTTAATTCAACATGACAACACATTTTAAAGCATTTTGTTGCATCATTTTACCTAAATTGTGCGTTTAAAGTGGCTGACAATAATTTTGGCTAATTTTGGTGTTCGTTGTTTTCTTTGCTTTGTTTACTTTTCGCTCGTTTTCCAGTGAAACAAGATGGCGTAGAACCCGCTAAAAACATCGACTTTTTTCACTCTCTTGTTCTTAAGGCCCGTCCACATACAACTTTGGCGTTGCGTCGGCGTTGGCGTCGCTTTGACAGCAGCGCGAGTAACGCCCGTGCTTGCTACAATGAACGCTTAGCAGAGAATACTTTGGTCACTAAATTAAAATACTAGCGGCAGAAAAACCAAAATTTTACATCAATAATTGCATTAAAAATATATTTCTTGCCCGCATTTGATTAAAAATGAAAATTGAATCACATAATTTTGATTATTTGGAACAGCTGACGAATGACGCGCGCGAAAAGTTGAGAGTTGGTCATCTTTCTGCGTTGTGTTGGCGTTGGCGTTGCCCAACTTTGGTTATGTGGAGACTTTCATATAAATGCATGTATTCATAGTCAGCTGTCGAAGCGACGCCAACGCCAACGCAACGCCAAAGTTGTATGTAAACGGGCCTTTACGTGATCTTGTGTCTTTCTTTCATGTAACTATCCTGCCAAAATGTTAGACAGGGTGTTTAAAGTGATGTAAAAAAAAAAGTTATTAAAATAAAGTAAAAAAATTGGCAAAATATGCATTTAGTTAAATGGATTCCTGCATTTATATGCCATTTTAGTATTTTGAAGCGCTTTGGTCAATAACTATTACACTTAATAGAACTTTTTGGCTGTTTTTGTCAGAGTCTGTTTAAAGTTTTTTTTATAGATATTAGTGTAACCCTGTAGCCAATAAAATCAGGTAATCTGAGCTGTGGGGCGTTTCTGCAAAGCATCTGATTCTTTTTTCACTTGTTAGGCTATCTGCACACTTGTCGTCCAATCATAGTTGCGTTATCGTCTCGCCCTGAAATTTTGAGCCGAGCACATGCATTTCAAAGGAGATCTGCACACTTGTCGTTATCGGCTAGTTATCGGCAAATCGTAGAAGATGCAGAAACGGATAAGTACGGCACTGTCGTTTGCTAATCGTTGTGCACGCATTGTTTGTTTACATTTTATGGGGGAAAATTAGTGAAAAAGTTAATATTTGCATTAAAATTGTATAAAAATTAGTATTTTTTTGCATAAAATCTGTGGAAATTATTAAAAAGTGGATAATTGCATTAAAATTTAATAAATATGAGCGTTTTAACTATAAAATATGACGAAATTGTATTAAGTCTCTGTGTGCATACACAAAACACATTCCAGGAAAAGAAAAGAAGAGATATTACTGGAAAATTACGTCTAGAAATGTTGCAGCACAGTCTATATTTAAAAAATTGCAGGTTTTTGTAAATATTTCGCGAAAATATCAACCAAAAAAAACAGAAAATACCTGCTCCAAGTGAATTTTTAGACGCCAAATGAATTGAAATATCACGACCAAGTGTGCAGAAGTGTAATCGTCATGTAATCGTTGCTTCATGACGATAACTATGACTCAACTATGATTGGACGACCAATGAGCAGAAAGCCTAAGTATGCACAATGGCCAAGACGTATTCGTACAAGGTGTGTTGTAAGATCAGCTGATTTCTTTGCCTTACATGTATTTTGTTTTTGCTTTTACTGATTTGACAAACATCCATCAAAACCAAAAACAAAATACATGTAAACTTTGGACGAATTGAGATTTGACATAAAACCCGGAATGCAATATACATGTGGTTGTTGTTGCTGTAATCTAAATTCGCCAGTAACACCACCAAGGCGAATCTATACAAAGGTGTCTTGACAATGTTGTCTGGTGTAAACCGCAAATCGAGCTGTCTCAACTGAAACCACCTTCTATTATTGCATCGTGGTCAAAAAGATGTGTTTGTTATAATTTTGTTTTGTTTTACTGATTGTCAATGTATGTATATGTTGTAATTGTTGTTTTTGTTTGCTAACACCACCTTGTATAAAATCGCCTTGGATGTGGATTAACAAGAAATATCGATACGTCGACAAGTGGTCGATTAGAATAATGTCGATGCATCTAAGCAAAACATCGATGTTTTTTTGGAATCCCTGACACCGGGCTCAATTCATCTTGCCGTCATTCTCGCAGCAAACTCGATTTTCGGCAACTGACAGGCAGGAAGCGTGGCGGATTTATTTTTCAATAATTTTTCATATTTTCACATTAGTAAAATTCCCATTTGTTATTTATCTACATCAACATTTCATTCGACCATACGGCAAATAAAACAAAAAAATTCAAATACAATTCGATCGACCGAATTGGACGGTAAACAAATTTTTTGTCGTGCAAAATTTTTTGTAAGTCGCAGGACCGAAAGGGAAATTTGTATGAGTTCGGTTGGAAGTGAATTAAGTAATTCTAATTCCCATACATTTTGGCATCTGCCTGGCAAATGCAGGTAAATCGTTTTACGGTGTGTCGTTGGGTCTATCTTGAACTACCTCAAGAGCAGAGTTGAAATAAGGATTAGTGCTGTGAAAATTTTGTCGTGGAGTATCCAAAACTATCGGGAATAAAGGGGCTTCGCGGAGGGTGAAGCACGCCCAAAGGCGTAGTGAAAATCGCCCTTTGCAAAACGAGCAAACGGTGATTTTTAGTGAAGGATTTACGCCCAGGGCTTAAGCATCAACATATACAAGCGTCAGTTGTTATTGTACCAGCAGCCGCAGCTGGAAAAACAACGCCGGAAAAACCATCACAAATATCACCAGTTACACAAAAACCATTGCCTAAAATTGCTCCAACTCGTCAAATCCCACAGAAGTTCCGGCCCCGTAAGAAGCCGGAAGGTGAGCCAAGGAGGAAAAAAATGGAAAAGAAGTCACATAAAGCAACACGTAATGGCAATATAATAGTAGCTGGTGCCAGTTCCGGCATCTCAACCGGTGGCAGCGCAGTTGCACCCGTCACGACGCTTTCCATACCCACCCGCACAACTGGCCATAAGCAGCACACGCCCAGCGGTAGCGTAGTAGCCGCAACTGGCGCTGCTGGCGGTGGTGGTGTCAGTAGTAGTGGGAAACACCGCAGCAGCAACTCGGGTCATCACTATCACAGTCATCACACACACATTACTAGTCATCCCCAACACCACCAGCACACCACACACACCAGCACAGCGAATCAAACGCAGGAAGCAACGCAAGTGCAGCATTCGACGCTACATGCCCCGAATCCCGCGATATTGCTAGCAGTCGGCAAAGCGGCTAACGAAGCCAGCCGGGGCACGAAAGTTACGGGTACACAAGTCACCAACGCTATGGAACATATAGCGACAGCGCTAACAACAGTCAGTCCCAAGTTGGCAACGACGGCGGCGATGCGCAACAAAAACGAAGGTAAGCTTACTTGACACAGTGTTTAACGTTTGATCGAATGTAAATAAGTCGTAAGTGAGAAAAGCCAGTTAGCGTGTGTAGAAAAAAAAAATAATACGTACATAGATGATAAAAAAATAAGGCATTTGCTTATCGGGCATTTATATAGATGATGTATGTGCGCTGTGTGTTTTGTGTTGTACAAACATAAATAAAACTGGTAAAAGTAACGACCTTTGTTAAGGTTGCTGTCCGCGTTTGCTAAAATACGTTAGAGAGCATGTGGGTGAAGGGGAGATGGTGGCGCAAGTTTTTTTAATCACAATTGGGCACTTGTGATAACCACATTTTCGTTTTTTGATGTATTAATGGGCTTTCTGCTTGTGAAGTTCCCTCGCTATCTGGCTTCTTCACACTACAAATGCATATCATCGTTAAAAGTACAAAACCGCGTATCGTCATTCTGCAAAACCGCGTAACTGACTTTGGCTGCCAAAAATTGGATTTGCTCACACAAGCTCTTGGCTCAATCCCTATCCATTCGTCCTGAAATATACTAGCCAGAAATGCGATTGCTTTATAAAAAAGAGAACCATTTTGAAATATGAGTGTTTGTACGCTCTAGAAAATAATTTTTACAACTTCACATACACGGATTTGCATTTTTCTGATATGCAGTTTTGCACTTTAAACGACGATATGCATTTACATCAATATGTATTTAGTTAAATAAGCTTAGAATTGCCTATTATCACATGTATTAGTAAAAAACTATATATATATTTTTAAAATCTGTTTTTTTAGTACAATCTATCAACCAAAATCAAAAAAAAATATAAATTTCATAGAAAATATCATTTTATAAATAAACTTCTTTAAACATATTTTATTTTTTATGAATAAGGCCATATTTCTTTAATAAATCTATTATTAGCATTATACTTAAACAATCAAGCCACAAATACATATGTAAATGTTATGTATGACACGTTTACTTTGCTCACCCGTGCATTTCTACTATCATTAAAATCATTAATTTATCTACTTTCATATGTACATACAAACATATCGTCGTTTAAAGTACAAAACCGCGTATCGTCATTCTGCAAAACCGCGTAACAGACGTTGGCTGCCAAAAAATGGGATTTGCTCACACAAGCTCTTGGCTAAATCCTTATCCATTCGTCCTGAAATATACTAGCCAGAAATGCGATTGCTTTATAAAAAAGAGAACCATTTTGAAATATGAGTGTTGTTACTCTCTAGAGAATAATTTATGCTACCTCACATACGCGGTTTTGCATTCAAACATATGCTCATACATAATATTTGCTAAATCGTGGCTACTCATTAAACCATTATTTATTATGTATTAGTAATGTGATGTGGAATTTACATAGCTAAGTACGTACATACATATACATACATATGTATAGCACTTCACCTTTGTTTATATTTATTGTTATCAATCAATAATTTCTAAGTTCATATATCTTTAGTATATCTATACATGCACATACTTAGATACATATGTATGTGCCTTCATACGTACGTACGTCACAAATGTAAATTATTAAAGCTTTTTATTAATCATTTAATTTTTTTTTTATTTGTAGAGGCTATCAACGACTTACGTCAACGCATTCCCGAAATCGAAAATATTTTCGATGTACACAGCCGTATCGGCAATGGCACCTTCAGTACGGTGCTGCTGGGAACTTTGAAGAAGGAACGCGGTTTGCCGGAGCATATGCGACGTAAATTCGCAATAAAACATCACATACCCACCAGTCATCCGGATAGGATAATGAAGGAGCTGCAGTGCATGGCGAAAATTGGGTAAGTGACAGTGTTGGTGAAAATTTGGAATATTTAGTTTATTACGATACGTAAGATGGTCTATAAGGAATGTGTAGCAGCTCCTTAAATTGTCAGAATTTTAATTTGAAGACCTTCCTAGGCCGCCTAAAATGTTCAATATCGTTGGAAAGTCGTTTCTCCTTTTAAAACGGACTCGTGCAACTTTACCTTCTTAAAATAGTATTTATATTAAAAAAAAAAAACTATTCCTGTCTATGTTTATCGAAATTAGCGTCACTCGACTTTTTATTTTAGGCTCGTAATCATTTTTCTACAAATCGTTACTTTAACATCGAAAGGTCCTTTCGCATATCGTCGCTGAAATACAAAAAGCCGTAACTAAGTAAACATCCAAAATTCCTTTTTGATTGATTAGGATGAATTTCATCGAATTATAAATTCCCACATCGTTTTAGCAATTATAAATTTTAGTCAGTTTCGGTTTTTTACATTTCAGCGACTATGCGTTAAGCATTTTTATATTAAGGTAACGATATTTATGTATATTTTGTGACTCAATATAATCATTAGCTATAGAAGCTACAGTAGTGTGCACTGAAACAGGGTCAATAAATTCATAAAGTTTAAAAAAAAATATAAACGCTTATCCTTGCATCGGCTTTGCAATATACAAAAAACTTAGTTTTTCAAAACTTTAAAAGTGGTGAGAAATGAATAAGGCTCTAAAAATTTGAAAAAGCTGAATGCTGCGAAAAAATAAATTCGCTTCGAATAACTTAAAGCTTTTTGGAACTCTTCTATGTAATTAGCGACTTTTTCCATATTTTTTAGGAATTATATGAGAAACGTACGCCACTATTTTACTAAATTTGTAGATTTCCTTCTTGGGGATAAAGCGTATTGCAAAAAGTGTAATAATATGTATATGTAGATAATTTCAGTAGCCCGTTCATTTCTTTTCTCTCTCAATTTTTGTATGTTGTCGCACAAAAGGGAAATAATTCCTTTTTTTTCTACCAATGTATGGGCCTTTTGGAGGAGTTCTCCTAAATCTACTACTTTAGGTTATAAAGAAATTATATAAACGTGGTAAAATCATACTTCTTTAAATAATTCATGTAAGATTCATATCAAACCCATATGTTTTATTCCAACTTAAAAAGAATATTGCAATTCGCTTGCAAACTTATACATTCGCTTCAATTGTAAATAGGAAAAGCCCTACTAGAAGGCATGCAGAGTCTCAAAAACTTTGAAATTCTTAAAAACTGCATACAGGCATTGCTTTATTGCCTGGCGCTGTATATGTTGAGAATATAGATGGCACTTCTTTAATTTATGAGCCTACAGAGTCAGCATCCAAAGAAATATATCTAAAAATAACCACATCTTTGTTGTGTACTTCCACAGAATTTTATCTGATGGCTAATTTCGCAAATTCTACACAAAATGTTAGTCATATTTTCCATACATAATTATTTTAAATACATTTGAATGCTTCTATCAAGAAAATTAGAGCACGACCATCAAAAGCATTCGTACCATTGTCAAGAGAAATACGCTTCTAATTCTTTCTTTTTGTTTTTGCAACAAAAATAAAACTTGTAAAATATTGCCACTCACGCGCCCAAGCGCTGACGTCGTCAACAGCACATTAAATTATGGTGGGGGCTTATGACGTACATACATGTATTTCAGCAAAAATTAAAAATTCCTTTGCAAAGATTTTCGTATCGAAATAAATCCACTGCTAAAGTGCACGCACATGGCATATGGTATGTACATTTTGTATGTAAATATGTGTACCAGTTAGCAGGTATACATACATATATATCGTTACCTTAATATAGAAAGGCCCTAACTCATATAGTCGCTGAAATGCAAAAAGCCGTAACTGACTAAAATTTTTAATTGCTTAAAATGATGTGGGGACTTATAATTCGATGAAATACATCATAATCAATCAAAACAGGAATTTTAAATTTTAACTTAGTTACGGCTTTTTATATTTCAGCGACGATGTGAGATAGGACCTTTCTATATTAAGGTAACGATATGTAGTAGGTTTGTACACTGCCTCTACTTGATCGGGTGAAAAGGCCATTACTCGTATAGTTGACTGCCGAGCACTTCCTTTGCCTTTAGTGTATTTGTGGTACGCCTACGGATTCATTGCTGGCACGAAAATTTCGCAATTGTAGGCGCTGAGTATCTACATACATATGTATATAGGACAGTCAATCAATAAAGTTTAGGTACATCGATTTTTTTGCAATACGGGCAACTCTTTTCTAGTTATTTTATTTATCGCAACTTTTTTATAATTCTACAACATAAATCCCTAAAATCAGAGCTCCAAACCTTAGGCAAAATTAAAGTAAATTCTGCGAATTTTCATTAAAATATAGCACTTTTTAATTACACTCTTTTGAAAAAAGTTGAGTATGCAGTTGATTTTGTAGCCCATGCAATTTTAGTGCAATAATGTACATACAAGTCTGAGGTAGCTAGGACTTACCAATGATTTTTGACACATTTTTTTTGTTAAAGGAGTCGCTCATTTTCTCTACATAAAAAATTTTCGATTTTATTATTATATGGAGAAAATGAACACATTCAACAAAAAAAAAATTGCAAAAAATCATTGGTAAGCCCTAGCTACCTCAGACTTGTACATACATTATTGCCCTAAAATTGAATGGGCTTGAATAGTGCATACTCAGTTTTTTTTTTTAAGAGTGTAATTAAAAAGTGTAATATTTTGATGGAAATTGGCAGAATTTTCTTTAATTTGGTACAAGGTTTGGAGCTATAATTTTTATGGCCTTGGTCATAGAATCAACCATATTTTTATAAAAAAAATTGGGAAAAATAATATAATTAAAAGAGCAACAACCAACAGTTGCCCGTATTGCATAAAAATCGATGTACCTAAACTTAATTGATGGACTGTATGTACGTGCATGCTTCTGCGAATGTGCGTAGATTAACATCTGCTTACAAATGTACCCACTGAGTATACTGTGCATTCGTACTGGGTCTGGGGCTGTAACCACTGGTGGCGGCCGGCTTTCAGCAGCACTCATTCAATGCGAATTAACGTCAACATCAAACTATTTTCTAAATGCGCATGTTAAAAGAGCAACAGCCAACCTTTCCACCCCGTTGCGTCGTCCACGAGCACGTGCACACACCGCCCACCGCAATTAGAGCCGAATTGAGGGTGATTGTGTTTGTGCTGTTGCTGCCCTGTAGGATCTCGGAATAGACGGCAGGAGATTGTAAGTAGTCCAAAGTTTAGTCCAAGCACATGTAAAATTCTATTTACATTTAACATTGAATGCCCTAGGCTCGGTTGTTGTTGTTGTTGTAGCAGCAGTGCTCAACCCCCCAGATTTGTCATGTGTCGTCGTCTTCATCCTCCGACTCTGTGAGCCTGAGGCCGAGAAAGCGGGCTGCGTCCAATTGTCTGCTTCAGCATTACATTGTAACCAATTTTAGATAACAAAATAAAATAAAATAAAATAAAAAATTAAACTTGCCCCAGCTGCGATGCGAACCGGGGTTCTCTGATTTTTTAAGCGGATGCTCTCTCTACATGCCAGCGTCGTACATATAACTTCGTTGACTAAATGCCTACATATCAGTAAATGGTTAATTTTACCCATTGTCCGCTTTTGCATGACATTGTAACCAGTTTTAGATCAAAACTCATACTTTATGCATTTTTTGCACAATTCACCTGTTTTTCATTACATTTATTTAAATTTTTGGACTATCTTTGGTCTAGATACAAAGCTCCTAGACCTAAGATTGTATTTTTCGGGTAATTGCACCAATTTTTCCTTCAAGGTGGTGACTACACGGTCAATCGATCGCCACTGACGTACGAGCACTTGAGCACAATTAACATTGCAGACGTTGCTGCTGGCTTCGTCGTTGTCGGCTCGTAAGCACTTTGCGTAAATATCAACATACAATTGCCGTCTGGTTTGTGCCTGTATCGGTATCTGTATTGTGGTCGGTGTAACCTTCACCTTCGCTCCGCCGTTGAAGGCAATTGTACGCCAGCAAAGTGGCAGTTGTTGCTGTTCCTGCTGTAATATACTTCCAGATCAATATAGCGTCTCATTACCATGTCTGGCTCTTCCCTCTCGTCTTTCGCATGGCCGGCTGGTTGGGGTAGTGCTTAACGCGCGCGGTGTGTGCGTGGCAAAGCGTGCACTATCGCTCATTGCATGTACATATACTAGTTGATTAGATTCCACTTTGCTTTGTGACTATTTTGTTGCCTCTGTTTTATTCTTTCCTCTTTTTGTCGCTTTATTCATCTTTGATAGCTGCTTCTAAAAGTGGACGGAACGTCACAGCGTATCGACGACGTATGTACGTCACAAGCAAATTTATTTATATTCCGCTTTCAGTGCGACGTGATGAAAGGTTGGCTGTCGGTCTGACTTTCTGCCTACCTAGGGGTGGTAGGTCGGCAGCCAAAGTGTGCCGTTAACCATCAGACTGCACAGCGTCTAAGGTGCGCTAGTGAGTGGCGTGTTTTACGCTTTCAAATGTCAACAATTCATTTCAGATCTCATTTTTAAGCGGCTACACACTTGTTCCAAGTGCAATGATGGGCGGAATGGGGCGACCCCAACTGCTAAACAACTCACCCACAGCTGCATATCACACGGCAGGCGCTTATACTTACATACGTGAATAAAGTTCAAGATTGCTTTATTTATTTTTTATATTTACATACATACATATGAAAGATGTATGTGGAGCTGTTACATACATATGTTCATACATGCATCCCTACAACGTCAGTGAGGCGCATGTTTTTGAATGAGGCGCTTGGGCGGGTGCGGGAACGGCATGACGTCCGCTGACGCTTCCTCTATGAGCTGCCAGTCACTCGCTCAGGCTTCGTTGTGTTGCTTTTTTTGTTGGGTTTAATTTTATTCAACGAATTTTTATTTACGTAAATAACAGCGCGAACACTTTCTCGTCTTTCTGTCGATGATAATTGCCAATATAAATTTTTTGAGCTTTTCAGTGAATTGAATTTTTTGTTGTAAATTATTTCGCTTGACGCACTTTGCTGTTAATATTTAATCAATCCATTTTCTATGGCGGGTTTAACGATTTGTGGTTCAAGGAGAAAAATTGTTTTTTTTTTAGTAAATAAATTTGAAATGTATGAGAAAAAATTAATAGTTTTAATAAAATTTATGAAAAAACTAATAGTTTTAATGTTGTTTTTAAAACAAAACTTTTTCAAATAGGTACCTTTATTTCTGCACGTCTTTTAATTCACTAGGAATGTTTTATCTTTTTTTATGTTTCTCTTATTATTGTTGTAGCCACCGAAATAAATTTTCTTAATTTTCTCACTCAGTGAAAGCAATTTTAGGATAGCTTCATAGAACAGAAGCTGACCAGCTGGGTCACTCCTGGAAATACAGCAGCCACATTCAGACCATCTTTTGGGCAAAATGGTGGGTGCGGATTTCTATTCTATCGTTTTTCCGCAATTTTTTTATAAACTATGCTTCATACTACATCAAAAAACATTAAAAATATAATTTCTAAACTTTTTGCGAAACTCGGGAAAATTCAATAAATATTCATGCAAATTTTCAACTTTTTAACCAGATTTTTTAGAATTCCTTTGAGTATGCAGATTTGTAGCGCAATACATTTTATTGCAATAAAGTGGAAATTTGAAGTATCTAGGACTTACCGTGGATTTTTGACAATTTTTTCAGGCAGTCTCTTCCTTTAAAAATAAATGTTCGAAAATACTGTGTGTGGAAAAATGCTAAACACCTTCAAAAAAATCTCAAAAATCAAAGCAATTTTCGACTAACTTCAAACTTGCATTTTTTATACTAGAATTTATTATTTTATATTAATTTATTATTATTTTTTTTTGTTTTATTTTTTTTTTTTTTATTTTTTTTTTTTTTGTTGTAGGATGAACCATATTTTTATGAAATTAGCGGAAAATAGGAAAAAAGGAGCAAACCGTTCCTTTGATTTTGGCCACTTTGACAATTCTCAATTTATAGTAAACAACGCATGAAAAATTTTAAAAGCACTGATATTCCTATACTTTCGCTAAAATCCCAGTTTTTTCACATTTTCTTTATTCATTCTTTTTATAAATCATATGTATATTTATTAAATTTTAAACAATTAAAACTTGTTTCATATCCAAAATTTGACGGTGTCAAGCCCATTTTTCAAAAATTTGTCATAAATCTATTTATTGCTAAAGAATTATTGCAAACATCAATTTTAAATGAACTAGTAGTTACTGATTTATGGAAGGTATCGTACTTTTCTAAATTACCGTTATATGGGATGTGGGCATGGTTATTGTCCGATTTCAAAAATTTTCAGCCGTCTGGTTTGTTTTGGCAAGACCAACCACTGCGCCAACTGGTTACAGAGATATACATATGTAATTAGAAGCTAATAAGCTTCAGTAGTTACTAAAATATCGGAGTTTTCGTATATCCGCGGTAGGCGTGGTTATTGTGCGATTTTGCCCATTTTCTATCGTATATACAGACGGACGGACGGATGGATTTATTTTTTTTTTTTCATTTTCGTAATTTTCTCCATCTAGATTTTTGAAATAAAGCACTGTGCTGCAGTAGTGAGCCAGTCTTAAGTTCAGTTACTTAGAACTCTTACAGGGCCGAAAACCGAATACTCAAAAGATCCATTCCAATAATAAATTGGAAAGTCTATATCTATACCAGCGCTACATGTGCATATGTACATACATATAGACGGCAGGTTTATCAATTTCTTGAGAATACAGTTCTGCCTGCCTATCACATTTCATCACTCACTTTTTCCCCTTTTTCTTTTCAGCGGCACCGACAATGTCGTCGGCATCAACTGCTGCATACGCTACAACGAATCGGTGGCCTTCATCATGCCGTACATGCAACACGATCGTTTTCACGACTTCTTCAACAAAATGGAGCTGTCCGAGTTGCAGCACTACATGCGGAATTTGCTGATCGCCCTGCGGCACGTCCACAAATTCAATGTCATTCACCGCGACGTGAAGCCTAGCAACTTTTTGTACAACCGACGCAAGCGCCAATTCCTGCTGGTGGACTTCGGCCTGGCGCAACAGGTGCCCACATCTCATGTGTCGAACACGCTGGAAGGGGGCTGTGAACAGCCGCTCTCATTGGCAATGGGCTCGGAAGGCAAGCGTCCGCGCGACGGCGAAGACTCGGCGTCCAACAGAACGGCCGATTCGAATGGCAGCGTGGCGGCTGGTGACGCTTATGGCGGCTCAAAGCGTCCGCGTTGCACCGGGCCACATGGCGATCAAGAATTTACCGCAAATGCGACGCCCAATGCGCGTGTCGCCAACAGCTGCATAGTTGGCGGTTCGCCATTCAAGATGCCACTGAAGCAATTGAACGAGATCACTGCGACGGGCGGCAACAAGACTAGCGCTTTGGGCGCGGTTTCCAACCTAGCAATGGGAAGCGGCACGAACGCGACCAACCACAACAACAACGCCGGCGATAATGGCATTTGCGAGGCGCAGCTAGGACGGCAGGTAAAGTCCGCCATACTCGGAAGCTCGGCAAGCACCCGCCTGCAGCAGAAATTGCGTCAAAGCGGAGGCGGCATGCGCAGTCCCAACAGTGCCGCACAGGATGCTGCAGCCACCGGCTCGAATGCCGGCGCAGCACAGTGCATGGAGAGCTGCTTGGCCAACAAATACAACACCAATCGCAATATGAGCGTCACCAACGGCCCGAAGTGCGTGTGCTATGGCAATCCGCAGGTCTGCAACATCTGCCTCGTCAAAAAAGAGATGCACGCATCACGCGCCGGCACGCCCGGCTATCGGCCGCCTGAAGTGCTACTGAAGTATGCCGATCAGACCACTGCGGTTGACATTTGGGCTGCGGGCGTCATATTCCTCTCCATACTGTCATCGGTGTACCCGTTTTTCAAGGCGCCGAACGACTTTGTGGCGCTTGCTGAGATGGTCACCATATTCGGCGACAAGACCATACGTAAGACCGCCTTCATACTCGACCGCTTGGTGACGCTGAGCCAAAAGACGCGGCCGCTGGACCTACGCAAGCTGTGTGTGCGCTTTCGAAATCGCGTGAAATTCAGCTCACCAGAGCTGCTGAAGAAGTATCAGCGGCCGGATGGTACCTGTGAAGTGTGTCGCAACTGTGATCAATTCTACTTCAACTGCTTGTGCACGGAAACCAACTACAACACCGAACCGCTGGACGGCGATGACCCTTTCCCCGCAAGCGCCTACGATTTGCTGTACAAACTGCTCGAAGTGAATCCACATCAACGCATCACCGCTGATGAGGCGCTCAAACATCCCTTCTTCAGTGAAATGGCCACCACCAGCAGCAGCCAGAGTTCAAGTGTTACTAGTAACATCAATAATAATAATAATAATAATGTAAATAGAACGGCTATCTCCATAGAGAGCACACAGAAGAAGGGTGCACGTGATAAAGTAGAACCTTGAAGTTTGCGCAAATGACGTGGCAAATGTGGGGGGAAGGGGAGAGAGAAACCTAAAGAAACTGCAAGTTAGACAGCCCTCCAAAATGTTCGTTAATTGTCTGCGAGTTGCAAATTGTTGAGATTGTTTGTGGACCTCAGTCATACGTAGTAAATCATGAATACCGGTCAGCGCAGTATAGGCGCGCATGTGCCTGTGTTTGTGCAGTTACCGGACCCCAAATCGCCTTGTTAAATTGTACGACGATCATTTCGTATTCTGATGTATTTATTATGATTAGAAACTAATAGCAATCGTTTTGGCCCAGTCTAAATCGAAGGATGATGTCTGTAAAAATTTTACAAATGCGTTTGGAAATATTGTGAATCATAGCGTAGTAGTGTTTTTATGTAATATACTAGTATAAAATATATTTTTCAAAATCATGCAAAAATGCGATGATTACTAAGAAGAGAGCAAAGGGACCCAGTGACCGAACTCCTTAGCCGGCAGCTAGCCACTACGGAAAGTGGCATCATTTCGAAAAGTACCCAGTTAAATTGTAAATTACACGCTTTATTTGATGATTATGCTTTCATTTGTTTTTTTTTTCTTTTTTGTTGAAAATTTGCGCTTACACATAATTTTTAGTTACTTATAATTTATTTAGTATTATTACAGCAAATAAAAGGGTAAACGTTACAAATATGTATTTAGATTTTCTTTTTATGATTTTTTTTACAGTTTACTGTGCAATATTAAAACAAAATTATTAGATTAGAAATGTATATTTGTGTGTAATTTTGTGTATGTCGTGTGATTTAGAATTGATAATTTAATATAGAACGTACTAATTGAAATTAAAATTATTTGTTGAACTACAAAAACTTAGAGGTTTTGTTTCATAGTTCGTAGCATATGTATTTTTGTTATATTTTGCTTTATTAGACGGCATCGATACGCATCTGTACTATATATGTACATATGTACATACATTCGTCGTTTAAAGTACAATGCCGCATATCAAGATAAGCAAAACCTCGTATGGGAGGCTACCCAAATTTTACCTGGAGAGAGCAAAAAATGTCTTATTTCACAACGGTACTCTCTTTAACTCCAATTATCTCTACTTTAAATCTCTAAATATCGATATTTTGATACGAATGGATAAGGCTTGATGCCAGGAGTTTCCGGTGAGAAAATTTAATTTTTGGCACAAATGTCTGCTACGAGGTTTTGCAGATCCACGGATACGCGGGTTTGCGCTTTAAAGGACGATATGCTTCTGAGTAGAGATAGTATTTTGAAACCTATATTTAGCTTTCATTTTTAAACTATTATTGATGGAAATATCCAACATACGCATCCATGGATAAATGCCGAATTGGAACATAGTTGTGCAAATAAGGCATCCCTATCAATTACAGTTTGGAAATAAAAGAGACTGATGCCTTGGCTTGACAGGGCCAATAATAATCCTGGCTAATAAAAACCCTCTGTAGGAACTGCCACCAACATTAACATACCTGGAGCTGAAGACAACCATCATTGAATCTAAATCACCAATATTTATCGGCACCTTGTGATGTAGAAGCAACTAAAGACGGCGTGAGCTGAATATCCTCTGCTATCGAAACAGTTCCTCTTGGAGCACCACCTCCCCCAAATGATGCTCTTTTTCCTTCTTTTATTAGCGCACCTTAGCTGAGATTCTATTCCTAGTACTTTGCGTAGAAATACTTTGGCCTACATATTAAACATTTACATTTTTCAACCAATTATTACCAAGTGCGATTATTCTCGCGTTGCTTGAAAAAAGGTTAAAGTAATATTCCGGCAATTTTAAATCTAACGCACGTTTTTATTAACAGTTTTTACATTTTACAAATGAAATGATACATATTTTGTTAGTATCATTCCTTAGTCCCAAAAAGGAGTATTTCCATTTCCTCCACCTATGATTGCATTTTCTCAACTTTTCGCTTAGTTTTAGGCACTTTATCTTCCTCCAATTTTTCATCGACCCGTATGCGTTTTCCCTTTTTGACCTGCTCTTTTGTGGGTTGTGTTTCCATTACCCGTTTTTTTGGAGCTTTGTAGCTACCCTGTCCGGCAGCACGTTCAGCTTCCTCCACCGTGTATGGCTCCAATTCTAACGCCTTCATACGACGTTTGTGCACTTTGGTGCGAAAATGTGCTTGCATTGCATGATCGTCGATGAAGTATTTGGCACAGTGTACACAGTAGAATTGCGCGAATCCAGGCTGATCGAGATCCACCGGTTGATTGATGAGCTCTGCTGATTGTGTACGCAAATCGTCGTCAATTTGGTCGAGATCACGTCGCCGACTGCGCACACGCCAACGGCGACGTAGGTGCGTGTCACCGGAGTGCATTTTCTTGCGCTTCTGTACCATACCCATTTTGATGCAGCTCTTTTGAAGATTACAGTTGCACGGAACTAATTTGAAATGCGAAGTGTGGAAGCTAAATTGGAGGTAAAATTTCTAATTAGTTTAAAGCTTTTTATTTAATTGAAAAAAATGAGAAATTACCAAACTGCTATTTTGGACGACCACGAGTTTCTGTTTTTATACTGCGTACGCTTTCCCACACAAACAACAAAAACAAAATGATTTTGACATTTTCTTCCACATGATGTACGCAATAGAAAACGAAGAGAAGAGAAGGTGTATAAACTCTGAATGGCAACTTTTTCCAGCCAACAACTGGCGAAGTGTATTTCATCAAACCAAGTTTTTTTCATCACTATAGTTGCGTTCCAGATGCTTCACGATATTCACGATTTGCAGGAACAGCTGTTTTCTCCATTAATAAACCTTATGGGAGGTGGTCACCTGGAACGACTACCTGTAAAAACCTGCAAATCGTGAAGCATCTGGAACGCAACTTATTTAACCAGTACACCTACATATTTTATAAACCTTCAATTTCAAATAAAAAATTTCCCTACAAAAATTATTTGATTATGTATTATACACTCTTATAAAGTTTATTTGAAACACACATTTTCTTTTAAAATACCTTTATTTTAACAGCCCTATTTGCGTGCAATGACAAAACTCTCTGCTATAACTATTGTCATGCTTATAATCAATTGTCACGTTTAGGTGTACAGAGGGCAATTTGAAAGCTCTAACGCTGACAATTGCTATTATTTTTGTGGTGACCTATTGAGTACGTGACAACGCTAAAACACATGTTAATATTTTAAATTTTATTAATTTTGCCGAAAAAAGTTACAAATTTGTATTAATATGGTCACATATCAATATTATCTCAATCAAAGCTCGTTTTTTAATCACCCCGTTTACACAGGCAAATCTCAGATTATTCGCCGTCAAATTTGTTGTGCTTGTTATTCTCACATCTCAAGGAAAATTTATGTTTCTTCTCTGTGCCACCGTGATCACGTTTTTCTGCTATAATAAGCAATATAAATATATTTTAACTTAACATTTTATTAAAAATACCTTTACAAACCTCTTTTACTTGCTAGCGTACATTTTTGTTTACTTTTACATTTGGCATTTCTCCTCTCTTTCGCAAAAACAATCGATAAAACTAGGATGGACACCGAAAAGTTATCCATTTCGGTGTATTTTGTTTAAAAGAAATCCAGTCTGTTGCAGTGGCAGTCAAAAAGAATAATTCAATTGTAAACAAAGAACAGATGTTTCACTACAGAGAAACTTTCGCCACAATTGGCAAATAAAACGAGCTTTACTTATGACTACAGTTGATGACACGATAATGACACTTGACGGCTGTGACATTACACGATTAGGGCTGTAAGATAAGTTAAATGTACAAATTCGCTATCCAAGTTCTCCTTCTTTAAATTTATTTGACTCTGTTTACTGGGCAATCTCAATTTGGCTTGAGGTGAAAATGTTATTCACCAATTTTGTTAGTTATTGACAATTTCCACGCTGATTCGTTGCTGTCAGCTGTCGCTTTCGCTGCTGCGTAGTTTGTGGAGCGAGCCTAGCGCGGCAGAGTTGTCAATTGTTCGAAAAGCTTTCAAGTGGTTGGTTATGTGAGTTTTCCATTGTAGCTAAAACTTTAATTATTTTGTTAAAAGAGCTAAATAAGCATTTTTTGTTGGAATTATCGAAAAAATCCCCTAGGGTGCAAAATTTGATGCAGTGCCAAGCGTATATGTATGTCCGCTTAATGACAAAGTGACACGAAAGAGATAAGGGCTTTGGAGCCAAAAGTAAAATCGGTGCATAGTGCGAACGCTGCATGAAAAAATAAAAATCGCTAGCAAATGAAAATCAGCGCTACTTGAACATCTGAGAAAATTTAATTGGATTAAATAAGCTGCTGAACACATTCCAACAAAGTACATTCGACTGCTGCAGAAACCAACAGCGACCTAATTGAGCCAACTGGACATTAGCTGGCACAGCCATCAGCAGCTGTGTCTCCCTATTCGTCTTCCAGCGGTGATAGCGGGGCAAAAGCGGTAAGTTGCACACCACTCGTTTTATCTGTGATTTTATCATTACAAACTACTTATGTACTATTATCAGCAGCGCTTATCGCATTTTACAGCTATTAATACTAGGAGGTTTATAGATATACGCCATAAGCTATTTTAGTTTTGTTTTGTTCATTTACCGCTCATAAATATTTCTGTTGTCGATTTTATATGTTTTAATGATTTGGTGTCTACAGTCAACACAATTCCATCAATGCCATCTTCGTGGATAGGTTGGTTTTTCGAATGATGTAACTCATCAGCCAGCAAGGCAGTCACGCAGAAAAGCGAAGCGTTTCAGCGTTGCAATCTGCTTATTTACTTACCGTGCAGGTATGCAAAAAGCTAGAAATACACAGCAACGTGTCGTGGCATGGAGCGTTTCGTTGGGAGTAAAATCACATTGTTGCTAATCAACAACCAGTTTCTCTGTCAGGCGGAATTCGCATAAGCGCTGTGTCAATTATCGTTTGCAACCGCACATATGCTGCTGACTACTTATATTTGCACTTTTATAACAAACTCTGTGGCTTGCGGTGGGAAACGCAAGCTTAAAATAGCTGAGTGATAAATAAATTATTACAGAAAATAAACCCGAAAAGGTAGTTCATTTAAACTTTTTCGAAGCTGATAATGTAAGAAGGCATACAATGCAGAAGTCATTACATTGAACGACTTGCCAAAGATCTTGAGCGGCAATTTTCTTACAAGAAGAGCTGTCTACTATTTACAATGACGAACGTACATACACTGCAAATTTTTCACAATGCAAAAATTTTCATTCTAATATTTTTCCGCTAATTTCGTATAAAAATATTGTTCATTCTACAACAAAAAACATAAAAGTATAGTTCCTAACCTCTGTGCAAAACTCGCGAAAATTCAGCAAATTTTCATGAAAATTTTCAACTTTTTAATCTGATTTTTTAGAATTTTTTTTTAGTATAGAGAATTGTAGCACAATCAATTTTTTTATAATAAAGTGCAAGTTTTTTCACGCAATTTCTTCCATACAAAAAATGTTTTTCGAAAATACTTTATATGGAAAAAATGCCAACACCGTCAACAAAAAAATTCTCAAAAATCAACGCGATTTTTTACTAACTCCGAACTTGCACTTTTTTACAAGAATTTAATGAGCAGCAAAACTGCATACTCAAAAAAATTCTAAATGATCTGATTAAAAAGTTGAAAATTTTGATGAAAATTTGCTGAATTTTCGCGAGTTTTGCACAAAGCTTAGGAATTTTATTTTTATGTTTTTTGTTGTTGAATGAACCATATTTTTATACAAAATTTGCGGAAAAATATTAGAATAAAAATTGTTGCATATATTGTGAAAAATTTCCTGTGCCAATACTTTGTTCCGGCAGTGTTCATATTTTAGATACCTTCTGCTTTAGCGATTTCTAAATAATCCTTATTATGTACATGTATCACTCATTTACTGCAATCCTGTGATAACTCAAAAAAGCAACACTCGAGATAAACGGCTTTAAAACAGACATCCAAAAACATTATTTTAATACTTAGGATCAAAAAAGTAGCATTGTTTTAAGATACGGTTCTTTCGTCTTTGTATTATAAATATTAACGTGAAATATCTTTTTTCGTCTCGCAGGACGATTATTTTCAAATGGAAATTATTTACGCCTTCTCTTAATAATTATATTAATTTCAAGGCGGAAACGATTTACGTCTTTTCATATTCATTATACGGGACTTTTATTTTTCTCGTATCTCGGGAAATTTAGTTCAAGACGAAAATGATTTTATTTTAATAGAATTGGTACACTTATAGCCGATTTCTCGGCATTTTACGTAAACTTCTCCGAATGCAATTATTTGAATTTGATATTCTAGCATGTGACACCCTTTTCAAAAAACTAAAATCACGTAAAAGCAAAGCCCTTTTGAAAATCGGACGAACGATACAGATTCGATGACATGAACAATCGTGGCTTTAAATCTCCGAGCTCGATTAAGAAGGTTCATTTCAATAAAAGTCCCATAAATGATGTACATAATTATTAAGAGAAGACATAAAGGCAGTTTCACACGGTTGGTACATTTTTACAGATTTTATATTGGGCTATTGGAACAAAATAAAAAAATTGGGACGGCATTTTCTTTGTAGTAAAGTCTATACGGAAAAATATGTTCCCTTATTTTTTTATTTTGAAATCAAAAATATTTAGAGGTCGCCCAAAGCACCCAAAGTTGTCCATGTCTTTTATATGGGGAAAAACGACTTTTCGTAGAAATGGTATAGAATATAGTAGTTAGTGAGAGCATTACAATTCCGACTTTACTGTTTTTGGACCACCCTAATGTACACACATATGTGTAATATTTTTATATTTTAATTAGCAAAAATATGTAGATACTTATGTAAGTGAGTGAATTTTTCGGAAGTCAATTAAATTTGTTCGCAAAATCCTAATTTTCCACGGAAATTTTCGCTTGATTTACTTTGAAATTATTATTTTTTTGGTGGCGGAGTGCCGCCCCTACTTCGTTGAACATTTGAAATGAATACATACATATCGCTCATTTATTACAAGCTTTTATTTAACATCGCTTTGTACGTACATACACTTGTGATCAGCTAATTAAGCCAGCAACATTTTGATCAATTTTGGCTATTTTTCTTTTGTTTATTTATTGTTTATTATTTTTCAATAAAAATCTAGCTCATTATATAACAAACACTACATAAATTCAGATTTCAAACTTTGTGCAAAAGTTTCGAAAAATCTGCAAAGTTTTAGCTAGATTTTAAATTTTTGTATTCAGATTTTTTAGATTTTTTTTAAGTATACAGTTTCATTCCCCATTAAATTCTAGGGTAATAATGTCTTAAGTTGCGTTGATTTTTAATGTTTTTTTTCTGACTTCATGATGCATTTTTTTCCATACAAAAAAAAATTATCGAATTTATTTTGTATGTAATGCAGTCAGAAAAAAAAATTGCCCATTATTACCCTAGAATTTAATAAATTACTTAACTGCATGCTCAAAAAAAATTCTAAAAAAATCTGAATAAAAAGTTGAAAATTTAGCTGAAACTTTGCAGATTTTTCATAATTCTTGCACAAAGTTTGAAATCTGGATTTATATGGTGTTTGTTATATAAAGAGCTAGACTTTTATAAAAAAAT